TGCAGCACCCTCGGCAGCAATAGAACCGGAGGAGAGGGAGGTTTTGCCCGCCTGAGGCGCGGTGTGAGGCCTGTGCTGGAGCCAGGGCGTGATAGCGCGCGCCTGCCGTTGCTGAGGGAAGACATGTACGCACTATGCCTTTGAGGGACACGAGTGGCCATGAGGCCTTTGTGAATGCATGGAGGAAATTTGCGATGGGGAGAAGGCAAGTTGTTAAACGTGTGAGCTTGGTGTCTGTCAAGAGGATGTTGCGCTGGGAAATGGGTCCATGGAACCATCCTGACAGGACCTGTGATACCAGGTGTGCCGTCTCCCAGTGAGAGACATGAATTGGGTATTGCCTGTCCAAGATCAGGACTTACAGTGCCAAAGGCATCTTGGATAAAGCGTTAAAAGGAAAAGTCTGTAGCACAAATAGTCTCTGTTTAGTGAAGAAAAGCCTTAGATTTTTAGAATAAAAAACCAGTATGCACCCATGTGCTATTTCTTAGCTCATTTCCCTACCTGATCAACATGTCACATTTGTTTTGAAGTGGCTGAACATGTCCTTGAGTTTCAGCTGTCAGAACAGCATAAAAGACTTGGGTAGTGTAATAAACCCAGAGTCTCTAAAGGCCTGACTAACAACCTAACTAAAATAGTATTGCTATGGCTTTTGCACAAACTTAACACACACTGTTCTTTTTTCTTAGAACTCCCCAAAGACACCTTGAAAGTCTGGATACAGCTGTTTTGTTGAACTATGGCCACAGCATCAATGAGGTTTATTTTTAAGAGTGAAATGGAAAGTTGGAAGCACTGGGTCGAAACCTTTCCCAGGAACAGTGGTCACTTCCTGAAGACATGGGAGGAGGAATCAAATTAAGTGCTTCTCTGAAATTACTAATCTTTCAGAGTTGCATAGTCTTTTAACTACTGCATAGAAAATGGGTATACACCAATCAGTGACTTATGAGCATGAATCTCTGTCGACAGTTATCAGAACCACCCAAACCACATATAAAGCCTGATTACTGCTGTGAGCAGAAGTCCACACTTTGACTTCTGTGGGTGATAGGTATGTACATCAAAGAGCATGATCAAACCTAAGAATGACAAACAGCAATTAATGCTGCATCTTTATTACAGTGGACCCGGTATGATCTTGATTTTACATCCGAACTAGGCTTCTGCTGTACATGCATTACTCTTCTGGAAAAAGAAGTCAACTCCTTCCTATTTCTCGTCTTTCAAAGCCAGTGTTGCACAACCAAGCATCCAGGCGTTGTAATTCACGCTGTAGAACATCCTACCCACTGAAATGAATGGGAACTCTAATGAAACTGAGATGTAAGGATGGCAACATCTACCTTAGAGTAAAAATGGAAATGCCAACTATGCTGTTAAAAAAGGCCATAATATACATGAGAGAAGAACCATGAGTCCTACCATTATGGTATCTATTAAACTTTACAGCATTAAAATATGGGAAGTTTTTATTTGTTTGAAACACAGACCGTCTTTTGAAAAAGATATGAGTAGAAAACAAACAGGTCGTAGTACACATTCTCCTTTTCATCTTTGTCCAGAACTCCCACTGTTTTCTGTGCAGGAAAAACCAATACAATATGGTCCAATGTCTGTAAATGATAAAGCAAAAAGCATTCCATTAATTTATTTCTGATTTAGTCTGGGTTATATTGTTTCATACATGTTTGAGACTCTTCAAGTTGCTTGGTTTATGCATGCAGCACGTATAAATATTAACACTTGGATACTGCAGTATTGCTTGAGCCTATTGAACAATTTTTAAAAAACAATTTCTATACTGAAAAAAGCTTCTTACAATTAACTATGACAAGGTGTAGAATATAGTTCTTATAGAAATCTAGTTGTGTTGATAAACAGAAATTACATAACTACTGAGACACTAAAGTTCAACAGCCAACTTGTTAGATAAAGAAATGCCCTCAAATAGGGAACTGTACTCTGATTCCTGCAGCCATTCTCAGCTTTGTCAGCATGACGGCTAGAATAGAGTAAATTTAACACCAGAAGAGCTATGGTCAGTCCACCTTCAGCCTTGCCTACCTTCAGTGAAAGGGTTTGTACCTAAAGACTGCTACATTTACTGAGGTGTGGTAGTTTAAAACATTCCTCCTAAAGCACACCAAAGTGCCAGCTTTCAATTATCATGCAAGTTACCTTTGTGGATAGTTTATACTTTTTTTTTTTTTTTCTGGGCAGGGAACCAGAACTACTAAAATACAGATGTGTGGTTTTCTGCCACCTTTGATATGGAGACAAAAATTCCTGGGAGAGTGTCAGTGTGGTTAGTTAGGACCTGTAACCTCTTCAACTGCTGGTACTCAGTAGAGGTGATCTGCCTGACTGACTCCAAAAGCAATAATCCATTGTTTGAACCACCTTGTCTCTCTCCTGCACGGAGTTACCTCTTCTGTGGAACACCAATCAAATCCAGGTGATGTTGCACTTGAATAAATGAGAAATTTTTGTGAGGTCCATTTCTCCTGTTCTGCTGGGATGGCATGAACTCACAGTGGGAAATAGAGTCTCTTAAATCAACACTGAGATTGAGGTCATGAATGTACCTTGGGTTACTTTCTCTTTGCTTTTACCAAATGTTATACATGATTACTTGGTAGAAAATAAATGAAGCAAAGAAAGAAATGGGGAGAGATAAGGCTGTTAGGTAATCCAATCAACTTTCCTGCTAGTACAGACTTACTTAGCTTGTTTATTAGTATGTTTCAAATTAAATAACTAAAAGAATTCCTCTGAAAAATTTGCACAAGCTCTGCTCTTCACTGCCAATAAGATTTTCTGACATTTGGTCTTTCCCCACCCTCTTTTCATTTACTCCTACTTGTTCCCATATGTAGAAGCCCAAGTATTTCCTCTCCATCCTTAAGGTTTGCATTACTTAAGTATTTGCTGGCTGGAGACACGTCTCCATGTACCTCTGCTTTAACAAAACTGGATGTATTAAGCTCTTTTAACCCTTCTCTATAAAACCACTCTTCCAGATAATTCTTTCTGTTGCTCCTTAAATTGCATCATTTGCCTCCATGTTATGATGGATGACACAGAAACAATGCACATACCAGCACTGAGTCTGCTAGGGAAAAGTTGTCCTCTTGGAAAAGTTTCAATAAGCTTGAGCTGCCAAAATGACTTTGCATCACATCAGTGCTCTGCATCCCTTGGCTGTGTTTTTGAGCACCCCAAAACAGGGTTCACTACCCAGTGGATCTGTGGTGTGTCTTTTACTTGCTGATACTGGACCTGTGTGCTGAAGGCAGCCCTGCATTGAGCACTAGTGGCTCAGGACTCCCCTTGCTGTTTCATTTTCCATGCCAGCTTCAAGTCATTGGAGGGCTTTGTTTCCAACATTTGTAGCACTGCAAAACTTTTGCATGAAGAAAACAGAGGAGATGTGATATATTTGGATTTTAATATTTCAGGATTGTCTACAAGATTTATTTTCAGCAAACCCTTGTTACTTTTTGCTCAGTGAATATTTTCAAGACAAACAGGGGTAAATTTGGGGGGGTTTATTATTTGTTTTACTTTGATTTTCTGTTTTCTTAACCACTCATCATCATATGCTTTTTGTTAACCCAGTAGGAAAAAATATCCTCAATTTCTGTAAGAATTTTACATTTTAGGAATTAAATGTAACAATCCAGAAGTTACTTTCTCAGAGAAAGGGATGATGACTTTTGATTGGGCTTGTAATTTAGGATACACCTTTGCCCAGTGAGAGCCTGCTTTCAGCTTTGCCATGTGGTTTACCAGTTCCCTCTAATAAAAGTAAGGATGCAGTATTTTGCTGGCAATAGTGCTATCTGTAGTATCACTACTGTGAGCTGCAGTGTGAACTTTTGCTGTGGATACATGCCTGGAAAGATGCATGAAATAAGTACTGGCCTCATTCATTTGAGCACCACTTCAGGTTTCCCTGCTGCTACATCAGTGTCATACAATTGCCATATAATTGTCCCTCTCTCCTACTGTGATCCAGGCAGAATGGACTGATTTGATCTTGGGTGACCTAATTAGTTGTGATCAGCATACAGGTTTGATATATAAAAGATGAAACCATGGAGGAGGCTGGCTAGAAATGGGTGTTGTGTGGCTGTAGTATAGTGCTATGAGGTGAATGACAGACCAGTGTTACTTGACCTAATGCATTTGCAGTATCCTTATGCCCTGTCCCATTCAGTGTTGTGCACTGGGTCATAGAGGACTTGGGGGATAGGACACAAAGGTCTCAATCCCACCACAACCACCAGGTTAGCTTTGTGCATAAGAGTACTGCCAGTGAAGGGAACTGCTCCTGTTTGCCCATATGTTGTTTAGATTCCTTGCTAGTATGCTCCAGACTTTCCAGATTCATTCCCCGAGGGTGCAGCAATTCAGCCCTATTTTGCTGTCAGCACAGTATTACTGCCTCCTCCAATGTTTGGCAACCTGGCAGTTTCTGGTGTAATGGATAGATATTTTGGTGTGACAGCAAGGTGTGTGATATTTATTCTACCCATACTCCACATGGATTCAGCAAAGCTGGAACTTCCTAACACGGCGCTTCTCTCAACCATAGTCTGGTAGAAATCCAAGACTGCTGACATGGTATAGTGTGGTATGGTATACCCACAGAATCATGCTGGGTATCTGTGTATCTGCTTATTTTGTGGTAAATCCCATGTCTTAAATTTTCTGCTTTTAGAGGAGGCATCTCATGCTGAAGCATCCATGACTGCAGAATGAATCCACTGATTGATTAGAAAGACAGAGAAAGGAGGAAGAAATAGAAAAGGAATGGGGGTGAACAAAGAATAGATGAACCAATACCTTGTTCTGCCCAAAGATACACAGAACTGTATCCTTATGTTCCTAAAGGTTTTTTGAGTGTTGAAACTTCATTGAAAACCTGTTCTTTCAGTTAAATGGGATTCTACCAAAAATGGTGATAAACTCAGCTATGTGTATCTTTTCTGATGAGAACATCCAGCTGCATTGCAACGATGTGCCAGTGCCAAAGTGTTTCTGTGTGTAGGTGAAAAGATGTTGATTAATACTCAGACTGGTGAGGTGCAACTGATTTTCATGGCAATTTTAAAATCATCAGTATGCTTGATTGTTTATCCAGTTGTCTCCATGCAGATTCAGAAGCTCAGCCACAGACACCTCCATCTGAAATTCTTGGCCAGAGTTTATTCAGTCCCAGATTACCACCAATGCATGTGGAACCTATGTCATAAGGAGGCATTTTTTATGAGGTGCTGTTGATTTCAATGCACAAGCTGAACAGAACAATAGAGGAAGCACGCAAAGGGGGCACACATCAGCCACTGTGGTTTCTGGTTCATGCCTGGGCCCCTGATCCTCAAAGAAGGAGACCAATGTCAGAGACATCTGCACATGGAGATCAACTTGCAGGATGAGGCAGGGTGAAATTCTGGTGGTAGAATTTGATTAATTGCCTTACGATTTGAAAACAGTTCCATCTGTTTCTTCCTGCTTTCTGTGCATGTGGTGTGTCTTCTCTGTCTTTAAAATCTCTCTTCTGGAAGAACTTGAGGAGTTTGATGATCAGCTTCTTCTCATTGCCCTTCAGACAGCTCTAGATATTTTCTCCATCTTAACTCAGTTATATGCTCTATGATATGAAGTATGAGTAAGGGGATGTCTGGATTTTCCTGTCCTTTCAGGTAGCCTATGTTAACATTAGTACTGTCATTCTGTGTACAGCTTCTTGGATATGCACTTCTCTTTTGCTCTTTGGTTTTCTCTTTCATTTCTATTTCTAGGTTGGATTGTATAAATGATGGCTCTTCACTCTTGTGACTTCCCCTTTGCTGCTGTGGGTTGAGTGTCTCTTTCAGTTCTGCATGTAAAAGAGAAAAAAAAAGATGAGACCAAAGGCTCTTATGGTGCAGCTTTGTAGGTTTAGAAAGATCTTCCCTGATATTTTATTGCTGTGGACTGATTGACATCACTTTAGCATGTCTCTAAGTGCCTATTAACTCATCTCTCACACTGAGAAATAAAGGCTCCCAAGAAGCACTACAGAGATATTCATCGGTGAGGGTTAGCCCCAGTATAGACTGTACTAGTGTGATCATTCAAGGCTGTATTCCCTCAGCTTCCATGTTTGTTCATGATCGCTTCATTTTCTTTTAAAATTTGCTGTGCAGTATTTTTTTGTGCTATAAGGCTCTGGGGGAAACAGAGAAGATGAGGTACAGAGCTCGTAAGTGTTGTCTCCTCTCTTTCGCTCTTCAGAGGAGATACCAGATCTGTCAGGGCAGAAAAAAAAGAGAAGTGGCACCGGCTGAGCAGGACAGGAGTAACACAGCTCCTGCCAGATGCTTAAGTAACAGCATGGGGCTGAGCAGTTCTGCAAATGGGATATAGCCAGTACTTTAGGAATTTGCTGCAGTTCCCAGCGCCAGCTCAT